TAAAAATAGTGGGGCGCCTGGGTGGCTCAGTCGTTAAGCATCTGCCTTCAGCTCAGGTCATGATCCCAGGGTCCTGGGATCGAGCCCCGCATCGGGCTTCCTGCTCCACAGGAGGCCTGCTTCTCCCTCTCCCACTCCCCCTCTGCTTGTGTTCCTGCTCTCGCTATCTCTCTGTCAAATAAATAAAAAAAAAATCTTAAAAAAATAAAATAAATAAAAATAGCAAGAGTAGCATTGTTTTATATTTTTGCACATCTCTTTAATTCTGGCTTAATAAGAGACAGATACAGGGGTGCCTGGGTGGCTCAGTCGTTAAGCGTCTGCCTTCGGCTCTGGTCCTGATCCCAGGGTCCTGGGATCAAGCCCCGCATCGGGCTCCCTGCTCCGCGGGAAGCCTGCTTCTCCCTCCCCCACTCCCCCTGCTTGTGTTCCCTCTCTCACTGTGTCTCTGTCAAATACATTAAAAAATCTTTAAAAAAAAAATGAGACAGATACATTCTCATACCTGCTTCTGCATTCAAAATTGTGATATGTTATTCTGACTGAAGTATTTGAAGATATGGTCTCATACAGACATATAATTGGAAAAGGAAGGGCTTCATGGGTTCCAAAGGGTCTTGGGGACTCCCGGGGATTTTGAAAGCACATTCTGAGATTGGCTGAATTACAGGAAAGAATGTTCTATCAAATCATGTCAGTTCTCATTCCTCGATGGGAGTAGTTGGATCGAGCACGCCCTCACGGTTTTAGAATGCTAAATGAAGTTACTTTAATTACTTAATTCCTATAGTCAGTAACCTGAATGCCAAAGGATTTTATATGGGGAATCTCAGAGCCTTTTCCTAATCTAGCATGAAGTGGCTTTTCTCCCGCCTGCACAGACAGATGCGATGTCCTTGGCCACCTTCAGGGGGCAGCAGCAACACAACAATTCAGCCCCTCTGCAGGGTTCCAAGTGTTTAAGATGGCAGGCAAGCCAGATGAATTGTTATGAAGAATGCGTAGAGAGAAAACACCAAAGGATAAGGTAAAACATGTAGCTCATCAGTAAGAGCTTGGTCATAACATGGAAGGCTTGGATGATGAAGGGATTTAATGATTCCGTTCTAACATATTAATCATTCATGTCAAATGAAGACAACTAAGTACCCTTCATAGGTTTCAGAGAGTGTATTGCAATATTACTATAGCCTATAGCATATTACTATACGATTTATCAAAAAGGCTGCATTTTTTTTCAAATTTAACATATTTGGTCTGTATTTATAATACCGTATTTTTGTAAAAAGGAGAACGTACTCTGGCAATGGGATACAAAATGTATGAAAAAGCTTTTGAAATCAAGTAGCTTTGTTGGGAGAAATAGATGGGACCACAAATAATTATAATACAAAGTATTAAGTGCTATAATAGCAGTATATATACAGGGCTACAGAAACATGGAAAAGTTGTGGAAAAGACAACGGTGGGGTGAAGGAGGGGGTTGGGGTTAAGTTACACAAAGTTGGTGACATTTGATTTAGACCTTGAAAGATAAATAGGATTTAAAATAAACAGGATTCCACACATTCAGACAAAAGAAGCAACATGAACAAAAACACCAATGCCTGATGACCCATTGCAAATTTGGGGAGCCGTAGGTTAATTATCCAGCAAATCCATGGTGAAACTAGAAAGGCTGGGCACGGACTGGGAAGATTCCTGAATGTCCTATTAAGAAAGTTTAGACTTGATCTACTTAGTCCCGGGGTGCCTGGGTGGCTCAGTCGGTTAAGCGTCCAACTCTTGGTTTTGGCTCAGGTCGTGATCTCATGGGTCTTGGGATTGAGCAGGGTGTCCAGCTCTGTGCTCAGCAGGGAGTCTGCTTGAAGATTCTCTCCCTCTGCCCCTCCCCCCACTCACACACATGGGCCCACTCACGTGCTCACTCTCAAATAAATCTTAAAAAAAAAAGATCACTCAGTCCAACCCCATATAAAAAAATAGGCACAAAGAAATTCAGTGACTTGTCCAGGTTGTAAGTTGTTCAGCCACAGAACAAGGAACTAGACTCCAGGTTTTTTGACTGTTACTCAACTACTCATTTCACCTTACTATTCTCCATTTTTACCTAATTTAAGTACATGAAACATATATATAATATACCCAATGGTAATATTAATACTGGTATCAACAGGCATAGCAATTAGTGAGATAAGCTTCAAGAAGCTTTTGAAAATGACTTAATAGCCTAATAAAATGTGTTCTAGAGTATAATTTTGGGCTGTTATAATTTCCAGGTTGAATATTAAGGTATGAAGCTCAAGCTGTGAGACAATATGTAAGTCTCATAGAATGTAATATTAAGTACAATGGATCAAAAAATACGCATGCTAATATTTCTGTTCTAGAATTTCATTGGATCTGTATTTTCTATTAATTAATTTTCCTTGACTTTTCAGACATGCAATTAAACTATTCCGAGATAGCAAATAATGCAGGAATCAAGAAAAGAATTTTAAATCATAGCTATCATTTATAATAACGGTTTCATTGTGTTAATGTGTTATCTCCTTTCTCAAGGAACAGAATTGTCAAGACAGACAGCTTTAAATCTGCATTTCATTAAACTCAAGTAAATTCTTTGTCTCAACTTTTAAGATGATTTTATTTTTTAAGATTTTATTTATTTGAGAGAGAGAGAGTGCACAAGAGAGCATGAACAAGAGTAGGGGGAGAGGGAGAAGCAGGCTCCCCACTGAGAAGGGAGCCCAATGTGGGACTCGATCCCAGGACTTCGGGATCATGACCTGAGGTGAAGGCAGATGCTTAACTGACTGAGCCACCCAGGCACCCCTTTAAGATTTTAGAACACTTAACTATATACCACAAGTAAATGTTAAAACCTATTTCTTCACAGTCTTTGGAACAAATGTTTTGAGCTTTATAAAATGTAAGCCTAAATTTTTATCATTTTTCACTTTAGCAGAAATATACACTTAAATACAATGTAGCTTTATCACATTTAGTTAATGAAGATTATAACCTTATACTTTAAAAATATCATAAGGGGCGCCTGGGTGGCTCAGTCGGTTAAGCATCTGCCTTCGCCTCAGGTCACGGTCCCAGGGTCCTGGGATGGAGCCCCGCATCGGGCTCCCTGCTCTGCGGGAAGCCTGCTTCTCCCTCTTCCTCTGCCCTCTCCTGCTGCTTGTGCTCTCTCTGTCAAGTAAATAAAATTTTAAAAGATAAATAAGAATGTTTTTAATTTTAAAAGATAAATAAAAATATAAAACCAGTCATAAACCTTATCACAATTCAAAAATATTTTTTCTATTTGAAATGAGATTTTTTCCCTCCTACCCACAATTCCTCACTGATAAGCAAGAATCTTCTTTTCAACCTGCTTTGATATTCTTCTGTATTAACAATGTATAACACTTTGCACTCATAAGACTGTATGTGATAGTTTCCAAAGAGCATTCACCACACTCGAAGCCCCTTAAAAGAACGCTGCTCTACTCTGTTCTTTATCCTTGGTGTCTCACACAACAACTAGGACACGGTACAAACTCAATTCACATTTGAGCGAGTGGATGAATGACAAAGAGGTAACAGGTAAACGGTCTGATCCAAAGTCAGCCCAAGTAAAACTTACGACTGACAGCTCCAAAAAGAGGGCTGATGATGAGGATACATAAATGAATGAAGAGAAAATAAAATCGAGTGGGTTTACATTAAGCTGGGTATCATGAAAAACCAGAAGTTGGTTTCACAGGCACATGGATGTGGTACTCTCTGGAGGAGACTGGGCCTCCTCACCCTCTCTGGGAATGGGCAGACCCAGGCCTCTGGCTCCAAACAAAGGGAGGGTGGGGAGGCAGAAAAGGAAGAGTAGTTAGCTCCTCTTTATGGCCAATCTCTAGGGCTTAAAAAAAAACAACTCTCCTAAACACTTCTGGGGTGGAGAGAGATGAGGAGTATTTTAAGAGTTCCCAGGACTAGGATTTCTTTCCCAGAAATACTTACCCTATGCTTTCTGAAACCCCACCAGTTAAAATGTTTTAGTTAGTATACATGGTCCCTTCCAGCTCCAACTGACACAAGCAATTAGTGTCAATGAATGTTAACCTCTTCTCATTCCCATGGTCACACTATTTAAGAGGATTGCTAACCCAAATATATCTACAACATTTTTTTTTATTCTTATGTTAATCCCCATACATTACATCATTAGTTTTAGATGAAGTGTTCCATGATTCATTGTTTGTGCATAACACCCAGTGCTCCGTGCAGAACGTGCCCTCCTCAATACCCACCACCAGGCTAACCCATCCTCCCACCCCTATCTACAACATTTCAAGTGCAGGTCCCTGATGCCGGGTCCAGACTCTCCATCCTCTCCATCCTATCACAGCTTCAGACTTGCCTCATACGGACATCAGGGGACTGCTGCGTACTCCAGTGTCTAGGGTTAGGCAAAGTAAATGGAAGATCAGGTAAGGCAGTGTCACTGACCGGTAACATGAGCAAGTGACGACTGGTTGTAAGGTAACAGGGAATGATGGCGACAGTGTCCAAAGGGGTATGTGTGCCCTGAGGGGGAAGCAAGTGCTCAGTCCCAGGGTACTGCTGCTATGCAGAAAGGACCCAGTTTTTCAGGAGACGCTAGAAATCCTTATCATAAAATGTACCAATTTGTAAGCATGGCCGTGGCTTACATGCTAATGCTAATGTGCTAATCTGTGGCCCCTGATCTACAGGAACAGGCGGCACTGAGAAAATGGAGAGACAAAGGGAGGCCTAGTTTGGCTGAAAGAAGGAGGCACAGTCAAGGGGGAGGAAAGGACAAGAAAGAGGCACAGAAAAGAAGGCAGAAGTCAAATTTCACCAACCTCAGAATGCGGACCAGGGAGCCCCAATCTGCCTTCTAATCTCACAGTAAAAGGGAGGAGAGGACAAGAAGGAAAAAAAAAAAAAAGGAGGTGTGGGGAGAAAAAGAAGGGGTACTGAACACTTACTGGATGGCAGATACTGCACCCGGGGCTTGCACACACGGCTTCCCAGAGATCCGGCAACACAAGAAAAGAATCCTGTGCACGGGGAAAAGGAGGAAACATATCAAAACACTAACGGTACATGTGTCCTGTTTTGAAAGTCCCCCTTTCCATTCATTTTTAACCATAAATACAATATGGTTATATTAACTTTAGAACAAAAAACAAATTTTACTAGAAGTAAGTTGGATTTCAGGGTAAAAATCCACTCATCCTAGAGTGTAGAAAGTATAGTACCCTAAGTCCAGCCAAACTGTGCACTGAATTTAAACAGAAAGAGAAAATATAACAATTCCAAGTGTATGTAAAGAATATGTAATTTTGCAATTACAAAACCAGAAGAGAACGTGAAAGAAACTACACAGGTGATATAAACCACAAACTAATTAAAGAACAGAACTAGGTGAAATAATTAAGAATGTTGTAGGTCATTTTCCCTCTAAAGTAGACTACCAAGATATTTTTTGTGTGTATATGGCCTACATACTATAAAATGTACTGACTCGTCTCTTCCATAAAACTTTTAGACATCTGCCCGTCTATTACATCCTTTTCTACATTTACTGCATTGTTTTCTTTCTTGTAGGCATGTGTTATTTAAACAGTACCTTTATTTGCCTTTAGGGTGTTTCAAAAATAACAGGTTTTTTTTGTTTTCCTAAACGAAGTATGTCATTTTAGGTCACTCGGGTTCTAAGCAATCTAAATCCCCAATTAATCTCTTCTAAATATACATACGCGGTTTTCATTCTGTTCACAAGTGAAACCCTAACCTAAATACTTCAAGTGTAATTTCAGGGGAAAAATACTGTTCAAAAGCCTAGATAACGCATTCCTTTGTTGATGCTAAATATAGCCAGCTCAAGATGACATACATTTTGACAATGATCAGTCTTACATATCAAATTTTCAAAAATAGCACAGATTTCATTGAAAGTGCGCAAGAGAAACTGCTATTCACTACAGTTCAGCCTAAAATGGATGTAGAAATGTGAATCTTCTATTAAAATTGAATTACACCAATCCTGTATTGAGGGAAACTGGATTTAAAAGAATTTTGTTGTGGTTTTTGCTCAGGGCTCCTTAAGGAAGTTGTTGCAGATAAAATACACAATTTCCCACATTTTTATTTAAATTATGCCAGTCAAAAATAGAAAAGATCTTCAAAAATAGGGGGCTAATACCTGTGAGGATAAATCTTAACTAATTATATTAAATAATCAAATTTCATTTATATTAAACACATCTCCCCAGAAAACTGTCGCTCAATTATGCATTTTTCCACACCTCATTTTTCACACACCTCAAACTCAAAAAGAATTCCAGAGACTTACGTGTATTTTGAGTTTTCTTACGGCAGTTCTTTAAGCTGTACAAGGACTGGGCAGAGGGGGGGATAATGAGGTTCGCCCAATGACGTGTGACTAAGATGGTATAAATACTCAGGTTTACTTAATGGTACTGCCAAATACATAGTTATGTTGTGACTCGCAGGCCAAAGGGCCCGTTACATGAATTCATTAAGAAAATTTATCTGATGGGGCGCCTGGGTGGCTCAGTTGGTTAAGCGACTGCCTTCGGCTCAGGTCATGATCCTGGAGTCCCGGGATCGAGTCCCGCATCGGGCTCCCTGCTCAGCGGGGGGTCTGCTTCTCCCTCTGACCCTCTCCCCTCTCGTGCTCTCTGTCTCTCATTCTCTCTCTCAAATAAATAAAATCTTTAAAAAAAAAAAAAGAAAATTTATCTGATGAATGATGCTCCCATTGCTTTGCAAATGGAACTATTTCTTTCTTAAGGCTCACTTACATTTTTCTACCTGCCTCTTTCCCTAGGACAGACATTTTGATAGGACATCTCCTTATGCTATTTTTACCTTGTTCTCGCTCTCTCTCCACCGCACCCTCCCCCCAACTCTCTTTGTTCGCGTTATGGACCTTAAATAAATACAAAATGAAGACCTCGGAGCCATTGCGATAATCAACTAACCTCTCAACTCGATTATTTTCTTTCAAATGCCAACACATTTTTAGCATTGTGGAGCGTTTCACAGTTACAAACAGCTGGAATGGCTTCGCATTTTCAAAAAGCACAGGGACAAGGGAGAGGTCTCAAGAGGTGACCACGTTGTGCACTCCAACTCCCAACTGTAGCTGCGCCACCCCAACATCCCACCTCGGACAAAATCGCCTCCAAAACATACTTTGCAGGGAGGGGGATAGATGATAGGCTGTTAAATCCCATTTTACTCCCCAGCCGCCGCAGGGACAGACCGGGACTGGCTTTCTCTTAAAAAACAGCAGGCATCGCGGGCGGAGACGGAGCGCCGGGGGCACGTGGTGGGTGGGGGACGACAGCGAACTTTATACCCGCTTGGACCCCAAGGGTAGAGCGAAGGGACTGCACCCACTCCGCTCGCGCGCGGAGGGCTCTTCCCTGTAGGAGTGGAGAGAGCAGCCGAACGCCACTCGGCCGACCGGGCACGAGCCGGGGCTGAAAGCAGGAGCGCAGGGCGACGCGCAGACCCGGGCCGCCACCCCGCCGAGCCCGCAGGACGCCGCTCGCTCGGGCCGGGCCGCCCGCGCCGCCACAGCTGGCGGCAGCCCCGCGCGCTCGGGTGCGGCGGCCGCAGCCCGGCCAGGAGCCGGGAGCGGGGCACGTCTCCCTGCGGCCCCCGCCCCCGCGGGGGGGGGGACCCGACACCTCCGGGCCCCCGCCGCCCCCGCCCCACGTTCCCCGACTCTCTCACCCGCCAGGAGCCGGCGATGAGCGAGCGTCCTCGTTGCGCGCGGAGAGGCTGTGCGCGTCCTGCGCCTGGGTATGGGCGGGGGTCTGGGCGCTCCGGCCGCTGCCGCTCCGGCCGCTGGGAGCCCTTTGGCCGCCGCCGCCGCCGCCGCCGTCTCCACCAGCAAGTTTCCATAAAAGTCCTGGTGCGCAGCCTGTCCCCGCATTCCAGGCGGGCCCAGCGCCGGCAGCAGCTGTTCCGGAACACTAGGCCAGTTCCCCCCGCCCCCACCCCCGCCGTAGCGCCCGGGGCGGGGGTGGCGTCGGGGAGGGAGCCGGGAGGGAGGGCGGTGGCTGCCAACTTTCCGCCAGAACCTGCGTGTCGCCCGACTCTGGATCGCTGAGCCTTTCATATGGGGTCAGCCTCCACCTCCCGGCAGGGGCCGGGGACGGAAGGCCGCCTCCCCAGTGGGAAGGGAGTGCTGTTGGAATGGGATTCGTAGTCAGGCTGGAGCTGGCTCCCCACCACCCACAGCCGGTTTGCCCTGGGGCCCGCTTCTCTCGGCGACATAGGGCGGCAGTCCGGGGACCACTTCGTCTGTCTGTGGCTGTCCTTTTCTTGGCTCTCCTCTTTAACTCCAAGGAGGGTGGTGATAGAGAAAAGTGGAAGGAGAAGGGGAAGGGAGGGGAGGAGGTTAAAAAAAAAAAAAAAAAAAAAAAACCCTAAAAGCAAACACTTACATAATCTTGCACCTTTCCTTAGTTGAGGGCAAGTCATCTCTGGTCCTTCTAAACCTACATAAAGGCACCTTTGAATATTAGCACCCATGGGCCTTTTCAACCTGGACCACAAGCCTGTCAATTAAACCCATGAAACAACCCATATTAAAACCTGAAATGCTCATCCAGAGGGGGAATTTTTCTTGTGGGGGAGATCTTCAGTTCTTCGCTGCATGCAGAAAATAAATAATAAAAGATCGATGAAAGAAAAGAAAAATTTTTTAATTGAGCTAGCATCCACAGAGATACACCAGGGACAACCACTTCCAACTTGGAGATCTGGGCAGAATGTGGTGCTCAGGCTATATTTTCAGGGGTATTGAGAAGGCTTTCTACTCTCAGCTGTAACTTTTCTTCTACACTCCATCCCCATACACTATTTACTCAGGATAGAAATTCTTTTCAATGTGTAAGCTATTCATTCTTCAATTAGAGAAAAGTTCCAGACTGGTAATTAAAACAGCTGTTTAAACTTAATCTAATACAGATAGGTGGCCTGGATGACCTAGCTCACCCCGCCCCCTTGCTCCCTTCAATACCATCATCTTGACCTTCTTTAGTTCATGGAACTTTCCAGCTTCAGGGCCTTTGCGCAAGCTGTTCTCTGCATGAAAGCCTCTTTCCCCCACTCCCCACTTACCTAACTTCGGTGTAAGTTTTTGTTGTCCACTTAAATGATGCTTTCTCAGAGAAGCCTTTCTTTCACTCCCAATCTGTCAGTGTCCCCTATTATAAACTCTCATTCCACCCCTTTCCTCCCTACACTTTTCAACTTCCAAGGATACATTTATTTTCATGACTTAAAGTAATGAGTAGAAGCTCTCTTAACGGATATCCACTCAGTGGATTCACCAGATTAAACAGAGTGCTCCATTTTTCCTACAAAACTCTGCTACCCACAGCATGCAAGGCCTGTTTCTTCTTTCACCAATTCATCATTCATTCATTCATTCATTCATTCAACAAATACACAGTTCTAGATACTGATACAGCAGTAACAAAGCAAATAAAAAGTCCTGCCATCATGGGAAGAGACATTTTGTGGAAGGGGGCAGACAATGAGCAAATAAACTATGTACTTAGTGATATCCACGACGGATAAATCCAGAGCAGGAAAGTAGGGAAAGCCATGAATGGGGCGGGTGGATACTGAGGGGACAGCCTCATTATAAATCAGTCCTAAGGAAAGGGAGACAGTGAGCTAGGTAAATCTCTGCAGATGCAGAACATGAGTCATGTAAATATCTGGAAACACATGAGGGAAAGGGGTCCAGGGAAAGATTATAAAAAGCCCGAGGAGGATCCTGACATGTTCTAGGAAGAGCAAGGAGGCTTGTGCGGGTGAAGCTGGGCAGGCAAAGGGGGAAAGAGGAAGCGGAGTGGGGCAGGACATGGCTGGTGAACCCTTTTGCCCAACGTTGGAAGGACTTTGGCCTTTAACGTGGGTGGCCATGGTGATTTTGAACAAAGTAGTGACATGATCAGACATATTTTTAACACGGTCACTCTGGCTGATGTGCTGCAAATACACTAAATGAAGCAGGGAGACCAGCTGGGAGGCTTCCAAAACAGCCGGGCTGGCAGGTGATGGGAGTTTGGACCACAGTGATGCCTGGGAAGATCGTGAGACGTGCTCGGCATTTTTTTTTTCTCGGTACATTTTAAGAAGTAGAACTGGTAGATTTTGGCAACAGATTCAACATGCGGTGTGAGGAGCAAGTTTTTGGCCTAGGAGAAGGGAGTTGTCATTTGCTGGCATGAGAAAGACTGGCAGGAGGAGGTTAGGCAGGTGTAGTCAGGAGCTCAGTTTGGATAAGCTAAGTTTAAGACTATTGGAAATCAAAGATTTGCCAATTTGTATGAACATTCCTCATATACCTCATATACCTGAGTCACCTGGGCTTGTTCTCCCACTTGATTGTATCAGATGCATGCTATCGAAATGACATCAACATTACAAAAGGAAGAAATATAAAGGCAAAATGAGTTATGGTTTTATAAAAGCTAGGATGAAAGCTTTGAAGACTTGATAGATGATAAAAATTACCATCAAGCTAGATGTGGGAAAGACAAATATATAAAATTGGGTACAAAATTCAGTATACATTGCTTTTCATGTAAATTTTTTCTCCTTCAAAAGTAAGGGAAACTGGAAATCCCAGATGATGATTTAGCGGTGCAGTTTATACAACAAAGATACCTCAGAACCCAAATGGATCCATATTCCAAGTAAAGGCCTTGAACCTACATCAAGACTGCCCGAAGAAAAAGGTCTACCTTAACTAGATGTAGTGTATTATCATTCCTTATGGTGGTGTCCAGCCACTAAGATGACCCCAAATGATCCCACCTTTTAATATTCGCCTCCCACATTGTGTCAAAAAGGTGGTCTGCATGATCAATATAACACGATATGTTAGCATGGTATAATGGTATGTCACTTCCAAGTCTAGGTTATAAAAGATACTGGGTCTTTTGCCTTGATACCTCTTGGATTACTCAATTTGGGAGATGCCAGCAGTTTTAAAGAGACTCAGGGAGCTCTGTTATGAGGCCCATATGGCAAGGACCTAATGCCCCCTGACAACAGCCATGTGAATGAGCAAATCTTGACAGCAGATCTTCCAGTCCTGGTCAGACCTTCAAATGGCTGCAATCTCAGGAGAGACCCTGAGCCACAACCACCAGGAACAGCCATTCCGGGATTCCTAACCCTCAGCAACTGTGTGAGATAATGTTTGTTGTTTTGAGCTGCTAAATTTGGGGATAATTTGTTACACAGCAGTAGATAACAAACACACTTGCTTTAACCTACTTTTTAAAATTAGCCACCCCCTACCACATTAAGGATCCAGTCCTTTTTAAAGCCTGTGGGCCTATTCTCTCACAGTGTTGTAAAAACAAAACGAAACAAAACAAAACACACATGCAGCAAAGTTCTGGAAATCATGCATTTCAATTGCTTGCAAATGTCAAAGTGCTCCTCTATATTCAAGCATTATGGTATTATTTCAAACATAGCATATTATAAAAGTTCTGTAATCTCCTATATATAAATGTACTTTGTGAAAGGCTTTTGTGACACACATAAGAGACAGTTAAAAGCAAAAGGTTGAGGTGGTATTTGATGTACCAGTTGCTTTGCTGTGGCTTTTAAGTAAAGAATAAAGTGTCGTAGGAGGGTTTGCTCTTCTCTTCTGTACTGGAATTCAGTCCTTCCCTGCATAAACGATGAAGGTTACTTAGAGGTAGGAAAAAAACCAAAAAAACAAAAAACACCTTAGCAGACAAGAGAGCTGTTCATGATCAAAGATGTCAGCAGCATGAGGAGAGAGCGAGATCAAAGGAGAAGAGGTGGCAGGGTAAAGTATCACAGAATACAGGGTATGAAAAGAAATACTATATAATAAAAGTCAAAAGTGGCATAAGAACAGTAAGGAAGACAGTGGATGAATCAAATGAGTTAATAGAGATTTCCAGCAAAGCCCTACAAATAATATAACAATAAGACACTGAGATGCTTGTAGAGACGTATTTTAAACATACCTAAAAATTCAGAGATGTTTAAGGTTTTTATTGTTCTTTATTTACTTAAGTAATCTCTACACTCAACGTGGGGCTCAAACTCATGACCCCGAGATCATGAGTCAAATACTCTTCCGACTGAGCCAGCCAGGCGCCCCAAAACCCGGAGATGTTTAAAATATACAAAACATGACATTCGGGCAGTGGGATGGAAGAGGATGGCATGGGACAGCCCAGAGGATGGTAGGTGACAAAGAAAACAGAAGAGGAGGCTGAGGTGCTGCTCCAGCCTCCCGTCCATGTCCAACCCTGTCTCCTCGCTGGGAAGAGTGCCTACAGACTGGGGAGCTTTGGACTGTTTTTCCATCCGAGGAAAGCCCCCTTGCCATCTGGTGCCCCCACGGCCGGCCCAGCAGCAGCCCCTCTCCTTGTATGTGGACTCTGACCAGGAAGTGGGGGGAAATGGGAGGTCTGA